GTCCAATCACTATTGTCTAAACGCTCACTTGTTCCGTGTGGGGTTGGGAGACAGCAATCTTTGTGAATGTGGACAAGGTTACCAGGACGCTGATCACATCCTTTGGTCTTGTGCGGAGTATCGTGGAGTCAGATCACATTTTTATGATTCCCTTCGGGCTCGAGGTAGACAACCTAATGTTCCAGTTCGGGATATTTTGGCTAGACGCGATCTGGAGTTTATGAAACTCATATATGTTTACTTTAAGGATATTAACCTTAGATTGTAAGTTTGATTAACCTTGTGCTTAGTTTGTATTTTGTACGTGTGGGTTTTTTTTTCAATGTTTGTTTTCAAGATGAATAGAAATAATTTCATGCTTTAGGATTAATTAAATAGTTGTATCGTAAACCACATTTCAAACCTCCTTCTTCCCTTTTCCCATCCAAAAAATTGTAAATCTCCACTAACCTCGAGACAACCGCGAGTACTCGGTCCAGTTCCTTTAACTTTAAATTTAAGACAGTAATAATGTATAACGCAAAGGATAACTCGGCTCTGTAAAGTTTATTCGATTGAGCCTGTACAAATAAAGTAATTATAAAAAAAAAAAACATGGCATTTTTTTAAATCGACTTCAAATTTAAAAAATCTTTTCTTGACGTAGGACTACGTCTGTGATTTCTATATGGAGGTACACTTTATGAAAACCAAAAATGGAACATGTAACAAAATTATGAAAATTTTTGAACGTTAATAACTCCTCTGCCAATGGACCAATTTCAATAACTTTATCACCAATCGATCAGAAATATTTCAACACATCTGCTAAATTTAAGAATTTATCATTTTTCAAAATGTCACTATTGAAAATTGCATGAATGTGCAATTATGATTATTATTATATTATATTATATATGATTATTAAAATTATCACCGATTGCCTACGAAAAGCGATTTCCCTAACACAGATTTCAAAGTTGAATTCCATCCAGTCTCACCAAACGGTGTTTATTCAATCACCGCGTGGTGGGTGGTGGTGTTCTCCAGTACACAACGAAAGGCTGCCCACATAAGCATCCATAGAAGGAGGAAGAAGCCGTACCGCTATTGATCGGATTCAATAGATCTTCGTGAGTAGCTGTGGGCCATCTATGTCAAGCGCGTCATACTAAAGAGTGTAAACAGAGTGAACCCCGCCCAAATTCCTATTCCTACACAAAATACAAGCTTCTGCTGCAGCTAAGATTTATAACATTTATTATATAAGACCACATAGTCCTACGTCACCATTGCGTACAACCCCATAGGGCTGTCCTTTGTAGTTTTTTTTTTCAATGTAGGTCTCTAATGGATTTTTTTTTCAATATTTTTTTTCGATAATTTGGACAATTTTCGAAAAGTTATCTATACAACACATTTTTGAAGGAGTTGTCATTTTTCCATAACATTTTTTTGAAAAAAAAAAATCGGAAAAAAAGGCTTGCCCTTCTCAAAGGTCAGTCTAGATAAATTTTGGAAAAAACTAAGTATATCTGAGAGGGTACTGCCAGCTCCGAATACGATTTGACGCGAAATGCGTCCAACAGTTTTGTATCGTCAATACACATACGCCTTCATAAACGGCTAAGTATATTTCAAAACACCTTTTCTCAAAAAACCCAAAATGAAATACACAGATTTGATTGTTAGGATCAAAACCAACATCCTGTTAAGGAAAATCTCAGGTACATGAAAGTTGCAAAAAAGTGCCTTCAGACATAGCGTGCGTCGATTCTGGTGTAGTTGACAGAACTTTTGACACCTATTGAAATATAAGGTAAAACAAGGTTCGCAGGATACATAAGAGAGCATGATGTGGTCCATCGGAAATTCGGGTTTCCAAAGGGTATTCAGAACATGTCCGGATAAGCCTTAATGATCCTGGGAACACCATGAGGCCACTAATAATCTTGATTTTGAATTGTCGTGTGATTTGAGCAGTCACATGATGGGTCTTTGTCACACAAAAAAAAAATCTGAATTTTAATGGTGATGTAACCTTTCATGCGTGTAAACTTTTTTTTTCACGTAAACTAGCAGCTTGCAAAAAATGTTGCAATCAAAGGTGGGCAGTTGCACACAATATATAGAATATTGCATGACATGTCTCATAAATTTACAGGATCTATAATGTATGTATGATACATGACGCTCAGTTAATGTGCATCATAGAAACGGAAATTTAGAATACTTTTTCGAACTGTGCATGGTTATCAATGACTTTAAATCTATGACAAAAGGTCGAAGGACAAAATGTCGAAGGACAAAAAGTGGAAGGACAAAAGGTCGAAGGATAACAGGTTGAATGGACAAAAGGTTGAATTGAACTTAGAGGGACAAACGATCGGAGCTACAAAAGGTCTAAGGGACAAAAGGTCGAATGGACAAAAGGTTGAAATGATCAAAAATTGGATGTTCAAAAAACCAACATCAAAATTGATAAAATATTTTTTCGAACATTTAGGGTAGAGCGCTACTTTGTCGTAATCGCTCATTTCCGTTCTATCGAGCAAGTAACATCAATAATATCAATGATTTCACCGTGCACAAATCAATAATACGTTTGTATCGATGCGCTAGCTCATAAGCTACAAAACAAAGGCTATACTAGCGCGTTGTATGAACATTTACACTCATTGTTCTCAAAACAAAAGAGGTCCTCCTAGCGAATCCGTTTTAGCTGCCTTCATTCGTAGAACGACGAAAAACCTAGAAAAAACCAATGGCGTTTCAATACGTTAGGACGGAATTGAAACTCGTAGAACGAATTTGGAATCAAGAAGCAGTGTTAGATTTCTAACAATATCTCAATTATGTGTGACTCTTTATCAAATTCAACGGTACGTATAGAAAGGTAAATACATACATTTGGAAGTCATCTATAGTAGAATCAATCCATTTTTGAGTTCATATTCGTTCGAAAAAGAGAGGTTAAGTGCGGGTTGTGCTTAGTAGGACGGAAATTGGATTTTTCTTCTTCTTCTTCTTCTTCTTCTTCTTCTTCTTCTTCTTCTTCTTCTTCTTTATTTAGGAGATTATTAGCCGTAAGCTAGTTCATCTCCGTCAGCGGAAAATAGATCAAAAACCCTACGCATAGTTTAAAAGAACTTTAACAAATACTAGGAAAATACTCTCAAAGAACGGCTAATGATTTAAAGAAGCACTATATTCTAGAGAAAGGCAGTTATTTGTCTCTTAAATTGCCATGACACGCACATTAACTATGTGCGACATAACAACAATTATGCAAAGTCTCATACAAATCGAAGAAAGTCGATTCAAAAATTCAATTTCGGTATTTTACCTGAAACTGCTCCGTTTTTGATCGAGAGTTTTCGAGAAAGATCGAGGTATTAACACCTTAACTGACAATTCTCTCGATATGCCCAAATTAGCCAAACTTCTGTGAAAATCTCTGTTGCTACGTTTTTCTGACACTTGACACTAACTAGACCAGCCACGGTTTCGCTCGGCATGTGTAAAAAGGTTAACCATAATATCATGGATAAACGAAAGTGTCATCCGATTGTTCAGTTTATACGCATTCAGACTCCTTATATATTTATTCGAAATAAAAAAAACAATAATCGAGAAAATAAGTAGTAGAATTGTATTACATGAAGTAAGGTGCAATAAGGGAAAGTATTGTAAAGGCCATCTACTAAGGTTCTACCAGTGGCATGTCTCAGTGTTGAGGATCAAGGAAAACTAACTACCTGATTTTGGGGATCTGGATGTTCTATAAGCTTTGGCTTAAGTAATATTTAGTAACAAATAGGCAAACTACCTACAGCTGGCCTTTCTGTTTTCAGTTTGTGTAATAATGGGTCGCTTAGAAAACAAATTTTATATTGTATTTTCTTGTGTAAAATGAATCACCATATTTAAATGAATGATCGAATGATAAATGAAATGCTTAAACAATTCTAACTACATATAAGTCTACCCAAGCGGTGCATAAGTCAATTTGAATGATCTACCAATTTCAAACCTTATGTTTCGGATTTTCAAACAAAAGCTATTCCAAAGGAATGCAAAAAGACTGCTGTAAATCACCTATCTATGCGTTTTGAGGCTCTAGTTATAAAAATGAGAAGCAGGAAACGAAACTTAATCAAACTAAATATCAAACCTTCCATTCCTATAATTTCATACCGAGAACGAACAGTAAATAAGTACAAATTGAAAACAAACACATTAATTGATTAATATTCGGAAAATGTGAGTGATAAATTGAACAGTAAGTGAAACAGTTGGTGAGTGAAACACAGATGCATGTCGTTCTGCTTTCCCATCCTTAGGATGGTTTTGAACAAATTGACCTGGAAGGGAAAACCCAGGAAGGGAAAGCAGAACGGCGGAACGGTAAGTAATAGAAACTTTTAACAAATATAATTTAGTAGTTTATGAAACTGTAGTGATCAGTAGAAATGGAATGATAATTGTTATCGTTGTTGAACCTTATCGGCATGCAAATCATGAGTCTACCAAACACGCTTTTGAGGTTCTTCGACTTCCGGAATATATGTACAGTCCCATGATTTGCATTCAAGAGCCGTCGTCATGAGAGTTAACAGATCGGCACACATCAATCTACGAATTTGTACATTGAACAACTGCTAGTGGAAAGAACACACACACGCGCTCGCGGATTTGGGTGCAAACATGATCACACCGATACTAATGGAGTGTTGTTTCTGTTTGTTTTGGAAACACACAGGGAAGCAGACTGAGGATCCGGGTGATCCTCGAAGAATCAGGTTAGGGTTCGTTTTTGAAGATGGGAAAATACTAGAATCAAAAGTTACAAAAACCGATCACTGTATGTTTTTCTGTTTGTTTGTTTGTTTGTTTGTTTGTTGAATGTTGGAATTAGAAGACGGGAGTTACACGAACGAACAGTGTGGGAAGTGGTGGTCACCGTATCCGTCCAATCACTATATGGGGGAGGATTAGAACTGTCCCTGTTGCCTATTTACCTTGTTTTGGTTTGTATCGTTTCATAGCGCAGCGGTTTCCTAACTGCCAGATACCGATCGACAGATATCCACATGAAGGTGTAAACTGAGATGGACCAGAGGGTGACCTCCAGGTACCCGACTATTCGGCACAGCACGTCCCCGTACACCCATTCGCCGGCGAATGCTGGATAGACGTACAGAGGCACAATGAACAGACCGCATAGTAGATCGGCAACGCCCAGTGACAGCAGGTAATAGTTGATAACCTCGTGGGGACCTGTAGGGAAATGGGAAGATGTCAGATTCTCCGTCATGATCCATGTACTAAGGACAACTTACCCTTAAAGTTAAGATATGTGGCTACTACAATGAGATTGCCTACGATGATGGCGACCGCTAAGATGAGAATGATCGTTGACAACGTAAGTGCCTCCAGGGTTGAGCCGGCTGGCAGGTGACTCAGCCCGTGCATCGTAACTCCTGAAACAGAGACGGGCGAGATGAGCATCGTGGGCCACCGCAAGCATCACTTACACAGTAGTAGTAGTAGTAATGCGGGTGCGGGCCGACTGATGGTCCACCTCATCACGGTTTACCTCGCATCCGGTCATGACGGTTTGGCACCGGTTGGAAAGAAATTTGGCCGACTGGCTGGGGCTTGATCCTCTCCTGATTCGGAAGCTACGAACTCCTAGCGGCACTCATCGGCCTCACTCGATTAGATCTAGAGGATCGGAAACAGAAAACAGATTATTATCAATGGGCCAATAATATTCTAGCTAATTTCATCTTCGTAATGGCCATCATCATTCATCGCACGTAAAACTCGACGACAGCCGGCTGGACATGCAACCTGTCAGGAGCGAACCATTTTGGCGTCAATTAATTTTCCACAGAGCGCAAATTTAATTTTCACATTGTCCCATTTGTCGCCCTTTTGTGTTTTGTTTGGATCTATACGTACCGACACACGTACTCTGCCCATATCTATTTACCGTTTCAGTTGACGGGATAACGATACAAGGAGAGTGAGATACTTGGGGGGGGGGGGGGGGGGGCTCATCCCCGAGGGATTGGTTCTGGCACTGCCCATAATGAGATTGGAATGATAAACTATATGCATATGAGCATCGCCTGTGTCGGCTCTTTTGTTTCGTACTATATCACAAAATATCCGCACAGATGTGTGTCATCATATTTTATACCAAGCCCCAAAAAGTACTGCTACTAAATTGTGCAAATGATCGTTGCTGCTAAAGGCAGTAGTGCCAGCCTGAAGCAAACCACAACGATGACAGACGACTAGACGACTTGTTAATGAATCCCGAGAGGATAATTGGGGACCGACGTTTGAGTCATGTGCTGATGCAAATTTAGTGTCGCTTTTCGAAGGGCGCGATGTGACTTCAATTTATTATTTAATTGATGACAAGTGCTGGATATCGTCTTTCCCTGCAAGTAACCGGTTAGCATTAAAATCTCGAATAATCTCGCGGAAAATTTTAGAAAGAAATTCTTCCAATCAGTTTTCGCTTTTTATTATCTATTGAATAATCCAAAAATTCCGTGCGTTTTGGGCATGAAAATGCGTAATATTGTCATCAGAAAACGAGGTGGTTTCCCTAACACAGTCACCAAATATTGATACCGAGCACGTAATCCTTCGTCAAATTTACGGATACAACCTCTTACTCTTTCTCATGAATCATTAAAAAGACAATTATTGAGCACTTTTGGGAAAGGTCACAATAATGGATCAATTTGCAACAAATTTTTCCAACAGAACTCATTCAAATTATGTCACTTCAAAAAAATAACCTGTCTCACTTCTCATTATTGGCATTGATTTTCGAGTTACTCTTTCTGGACTCAGAATTTTTTCATGAGATATTGAACACTCATCTTCCTTTTATACTTCAACTTTTATACGTCAATGCAGTGCTGGATGGACCAATGCTTTCGTTTGCTGATAACTTCAAGCTGTATTTCAAGATTCGTTCTGAGGCTGACGCTCAGTTTCTACAACATCAACTTGACGCATTCGCTCATTGGTGTCAGATGAATCGTACGACTGTAAATCCTGCAAAATGCTCAGTTATTACGTTTTCTCGACTGAAAGATCCAAAACTCCACGATTATTCATTGTCTGGAGTACCACTGGTAAGAGTGAACGAAATCAAGGACTTGGGAATTATCCTCGTTCGTAGTGAATAAACCTTCAAAATCTCTAGGCTTTATCTTCCGGTTAAGAGTTCACGGACATTTACAGTCAAAAGGCGCTCTACTGTGCATTAGTTCGGTCGACATTGGAGTACTGTTCGACTGTTTGGAGCCCTCACTACCTAAATGGAATTGAGAGAATGGAATCAGTGCACCGGCGGTTAGTTCGATTCGCACTTCGTCGACTACCATGGCGGGATCCATTTCGTCTCCCAAACTACGAGCACCGATGTCAGCTAATTCGTCTGGATACACTTAGTACACGAAGAGACGTTGCTAAGGCTATGCTGGTTTCTGATGTCTTGCTGGGTCGAGTTGATTGTCCTGAAATCCTACAACGAATCAACTTGTATGTGCGACCAAGATCTCTACGGAACAATGCGATGCTACGACCTCAACCTCACCGCACCAATTACGGAATGAACAGTGCCATTACTGGGATACAGAGAGTTTTCAACCGGGTTGCCAGTCAATTTGATTTTAACGTTTCGCGTGACTTGCTACGTGCTAGATTCTTAATGTTTTTAGATAATTTGTAACATATGTGTAGTTCTAATGTATATTAATTTAGTTCATTGGCAACAACTTATCCATCATTGGGGCCAAGAAGCCTGTTGATGAAAAAATAAATTTAAAAAAAAATAAAAAACATTAGACTAATGTTAAATTTTAAATTTTCTTTCCCACTAACGTCCCAAAATTAAAGCGACATTGGTAAGAAACTGACTTTGCACAAACCATTTAAGTTTAAATGAAAATTACTATGAGAACACCAAACTTTTGACGTTGGACTACGTCTGTGATTTCTATATGGTACACTTTGTGAAAACCGAAAATGAAACTTGTAACGAATTTATGGAAGATTTTGAACGTTAATAACTCAGCTGCCTCTGGACCAATTTCAATAATTTTATCTTGATAAGAAATATTTCCACGCATCGATAGCAATGATTCCGACTGTTGATTTTTGACAAGAAACTATTGAAAAAGTGGTAAATGTCAAGCTTTGTCCAAAAGTGTCGAAATAACTAACAAATCCACCAGTTACGTACACAGTTCGAAAAAGTAGTGTAAATTTCTGTCCCTATGATGCACATAAATGGAGCGTCACATATCATACAAATTCACATTACAGATCGTGTAAATTTATGAGCCATTTAATGAAATATTCTAAATATTGTATGCAACCATCCATCTTTGTAAGCAATATTTCTTGCAAGTTGCTAGTTTACGTAAAAAGGAAGTTTACATGCTTCAATTTTAGCATACATGGATATTTACATCAACATTAAAATTCATATTTTTTTGGTGTGTACATGCACATGCTGCTTCCCCAACACAGTCATCAGAGAATCGTTTCTAGACGAAACATGTCGATGTAACATTGCTGCTTTTCCAACTCTGTCATCAAAGAGTCGTTAGTAGACGAAACAAGTCGAAGTGGCATTCGCCTCCGATCTTCGGGCGTGTGCGAATAGGGAGGATGCAATTGCGTTACATTTTGCACACTCATCGCCATATTCAGAGCCACACACCCCCAACAATCACTCAAAATGCTATCCAGAGTTGTAATCTTATAACCAAATTTGGAAGCAGGGTTTTGATTTTGATTTTGATCGATTCTATTCATCGACTTTCTGTTTCGTTAATAACTCGACGGCAAACACATTCATTGATACGTTTGGTGTTCTGGATGATAGAAGAGCATAGCAAAAATGGTGCGAAATAGGTTATTGAAGCCATGGTCATCAAAAGAGGAAATCGATGCAGAGAATTGACTTTCATCCCTTGGCTTCTACACCGTATGAAAAATTCATGTAAATTTCTGCGAGATATAGCGCACATAAAATTAACGCTAGATTTGGCATAAATTTACGCAATATTTCGTGTAACTTAAGCGCAATATCGCTTAAATTAGCAATATTGTATGCAAACTTGCAAACGATTTCGCTGTTTATGCCAAGTATAGCTCAAAATTAAACGAAGGGAGACTATACGCGATAGTTAAAATTCAGATTTTTTTTTCTGTGTAGGCCCCTTAATTCAGTCGTCGTCATAGCAATGAAAACTAGCATTGCACCGCTTTTGGTTCTTGGGTTACACTTACTGGTTGCAATTCTGATGTTCGACATTTTCGAAGGACCATCCAAAACATTTACACTATTTTTTAGGGATGCCATAAAGTCCAATTATTCGATTAACGATTAATCGTCAAGATTTTTCCAGCTATTCGATTGAATAGGGAAAATTATTCTAATGTTGGCCTATGGATCTAAGATTGGGCCCATTGCTAAAAATCTGCTATTTATCAATTTTATCTGGATTAACGCGTCATTGGGACGATATAAATAGATATTTTTGGTCGCTATTGAAAATTTAGTCGATATCTGAATTTATGTATGGGCCCAAGTTAGGAGCATTTAGGCCGACATTACATCCATTTCCCCTATTTATCGAATTTTCAATTATTTGAGCGCGTAACCAACATCCCTTCTTATTTTTACTCGTTTGATTCAGCGCAGTAGAGAAAATAAATAAATGTTCTAATTTATCAGGATCATAGATTCACCGAATAAGTGTTAATCGTCTTTCTGCTAAAGACGTGTCTTTACCAACTTTGTTAAGAGAAGAAGTTTATCGAGAAAAACTAAAAAGGGAAGGTGTTTTAGCTGGGTGGACACTGATATTCTGACAACCTAAAGCAGACACTAGTTCAATTTAATTACTGTCCAGCAGCAGACGGGCCGAAACTCTTGGGACCGCCCAATCATTGAACCGAAGAATATGGGATGTCCGGTCCGATTTGCTGATCCAGCTTCAATCATCATCATCCAAAGGCTAAGCCTGTACTACCATCGACCCTTTACAGGACCACCAAGATTTTCCAAAAGAGTTAAATTTCTGAACATGTCCCAACTAAAATTCATATCAAAAGGTTCTTTTCAGGGCAATCATAGTCATACTAAAGAGTATAAACAGATAGAACCCCAATCGAATTCCTATTCCTACACAAAACACAAGCTCCTGCTGCAGTTAACACATAAGATTTATTATATAATACCACGTAGTCCTAAGTTACCATTGCGTACAACCCCATAGGGCTGTCCCTTGTACTTTTTGCATAGTCTTTTAGCCTCTTGGCATATTGCACTGTTTGAAAGATCTATAGTAATTCTTATGGAAAATTTTCTCAGCTACAACTTTGCAGGATATCGTTTTAAAGCCAAACGTCAAATTAAATAGTAATTAATTGTTTAAGAGATTGATAATCTAATGGCCTGACCATGCAGCTATTTTGTTGGCAACACTGTATTGTGCAGTGTGACATAGTAGCCATGATTTTTGTGCTCTATTCTACGCGCTAGAAACACCGGTGTTGCCTACAGCCAGAGTTGCGACCTATCACAATCACGATCGCCAAACAGCTGATGTACATTCCTATTAATGTGCTCGTCGAAGCGCTCTCCATGACCATCCATCAAGTTGACGAAAGAAGTA